TATCTTTTTATTAGTACTTACTAATTATTATTATAACTTATAAGGTGTATAATGTTATAATAATAGTTCTAAAGCCTTTATAATAAAATATGTCTGTTTCAAAAATTTCAAATGGAAAAGTTAATTCTTTTACAGTTGAATCTGCTTATTTTGATTTTATGTAAAATCAGTATTTTCTTATTTTTATTATTTTCTTCACTATTTAATATCTAGAAAATTAAAAGCTTAATAGATTTTAGTTGTTTAAAAAGAAAACCATTATTTGATATTTCCTTGTTTACTATACAAATTAAAGTATTGGCATTATTAAACTATTTTAACGGGTACGTTTTACTAAGATTATGTAAAAGTGGCAATATTAAATCAAAAATAGCCTTAGCTAAATTGTATTATCTAAATTTAACAATTATTCTGTAATAAAACACATTTTTAAGGATTTAAATTTTATGGAATTTGTACGCGACAAGTTTGTCTGATTTTATACACACACATACATGTATACTATATTTATGTATAAATACAAATAATTATAAAATCAATTATACTAACTTATAATGCATAGTTGTTAAAAATACAATTTGTTTACCTTTAATGATGCAAATAATGGTTAAAAGAATATTTGCTGTAATGCGTATGCGACAATTTTCCTACTTTAAAGAGTTAAAAACAATTTTTATTAATTTTTACTGTGTACTTTACAAAATTTGAACATTGATAACACATAGTCAAACAATTGTGTTGATAAATTTCAACGACAAATATATAGTATAGTATAACATTTAAAGAACAATAATAATCTTTTGTCTGATAATATAAGTATTTAACTAATAAAATATTCATAAACTAATTATTAATACAACAATAAATTTAAAAATTACAAATGCTGCTATTTTGAAAATATTCAATCAAAAATATTAAACAAAAACAATATCTATACATTTGAAATTGTTCAACTTCTATAATACTGATTTAAATTTTTTTCTTTTAACAATCGTTGGTAATTAAACAAATCTAACAAAATCAAAATTCAATAAATAAAATTAACTATAAGAATTATCTTAGGCAAGTTCAAAAAAATAACTTACTTGATTTACTGAATTCATTAAATACAAATTAATAGAATTATTACTTTTTTAAAGAGAGAATTATTGTATATTAATAAATTTGATATAAAATTTAACTTTGATAGCCAAATACCTGTGTCAGTTATAGCTAAAACTTTATGATAAAATATCCGTAATGTTTGTCAGACACACAATATATGGGTTATATCATTGTAAGAAATAACTAAACTGAAAGCAGCTTTTAACTACCTTAGATAAGTTTAATCAAATAAAAATAATATACTTATATATTATTATAAATATTGGTATAATCAAGAAGCGATTCCTTGTATGTAGTAGTATGAAATTCATACATTAATTACTGATATTTTTAAAAATAAATGAAACGGGTATATGAGTATTATCAACCCACGTACACAAATACATGCATTAATAATTATTTTAAGTTAACACAACACACTTTTCATTCAAATTGCTTAGTGTTGATATTATACATTCACATGAAAAAATATCATATTAGAAATAAATGTTTTATACTTATAATTTACACCTTGATATATAATTGTAAGGTCTTGGGTCCGATTGGAAAGACATTTCCATAGCAATTGATATGTCATACTCAAAACCAATTTTACATGATAACATTGGTTTTTAAAAGATGAAATATTTTCAGTAAAAAAGCATTCAACCTAAAATAAAAAAGCTAATTGAATTCGTATTGTATTAAATTATCTATTAAACTTTAATACACTTACCTATTAAATTAATGATGTGTCCAAGAATGTAACGTCAAAATAAAGTCGAGAGCAAATATTATCAATTGATATATTAAAAAAATTATAAAATAACGAGTTATGACATAACTACAATAAGCATGCTATCATATTTACTATAAAGTAAAATGTAAATTTACTAACATTTTTTAATTAAGTTTGCAATTTCTCATTTCACTAATGGAAAACGTGTGAACTTCGAAGTCGAAATTTGTTAGCGATGAGGTTATGTACAAATAATAAATATAATGAGATTTTGTACAAATAATAAAATACATTATGGGTACTGGTCACTCGATTATTCCGTGGTAACTGATACATAGTTTAGATACTAGATTGTTATCCGAGATAACCAGCTAATGACTAGCTCCAGCTAGATTAGGTTAAAGTGTAAAGTCCGTTATCCGTAACAGTCTACCTTTCGTCTAATAATGTATGGTTATTTATTATATCTGATTATGATACGGAATGCGTTAACATCAAATTATTATTATATTTGATGTGATGACCGTCGTAATAAAACTACTTGTCTTTGTCGAACCGAATGAAATTATTAAGAAATATAGACAAAAATTCAAATCTTTACAAAGTCATAAACAGCGAACAAATGGATGAAAATTAAAAATTCAAACGCTAACATTTTTTTAGATTTTTTGTCTTTATATTTATGGAATTTAAAACATATGTTCCCATTTGAAAAAACGAGGTTCGTACTTATTTAACGTATAAGGGTTGAAGATAAAATTTTTCTAAATATTGAAAAATGTAGCTAAATATGTACCTAAAATTTTAGGGAAAAAAAAATTCGCAAAATATTCATACTTTCAGAGAAAATGAGTGTCTTACGTTAGTTGGATCACCCTGTATAATATTAAAATAATAACCAAGTCTGCACAAGGGTAGTTAATATAATAGTAACTTCTGAATCCATTTACATGGCGAGGTCTGTAAGTTTGTATAGTGAACTAACACAGTAAATTCATTTTTAGCAATTAAATAATAAATGTATGTTTAATAAACGGAATTGCTAATAATATAATATTGTAACTCTAATTATCGTGGTCTAAAAATTAAAATAGGGCAAGAATTCTTATTAGAAAAATAATCTTAAAAAATAAATATTTTTGAAACGGTCAGACAAGACTCGTTTTAACTTATAATACATCAAAGTTCTATTGTAGAATTATAAAACGGCTCATTTGTTAAACCGTAGGTACAAGGACAGATGTAGGGACAGGACCCAATCTAAATAATACACTAATTGACAGGCTCTTTATAGTATACAGGGTGTATCAGTCATCTAACAGATTTTTCATACAATTTATATGCGAAGCTGTCGGATCATTGTGATACACCTATATATATGCCTAGCCCATTGAACCATGTAAATTGAACCATCAAAAGGAACGACCGTCACAATAGTGTCTCTCTTAAGATCTAAATTGATTGTAATGCTCAAGTTATGCCAGCCAAAGCGGTCTTAATTGAGAGTGAAAAAAATACTACTTTAATAGGATATACCTATTTAATGAATCCGAAATTGGCCTACTATTTTCATTAGCATGTACATTTTTGAACTACAATACACAAAATAAAAGTGTATTTGTGTATTGTAAAAAATTATTTGTGAAAAACAAAATTAAAATTTTTATTTTGGTTTAAAAAAAAAAATTGTTAAAACTGTTAAGTAATTTTTAGATTAGTTCTAAACACAAATACTCTATTTGAAGTATATTTTAGATAATTATGCAACCGTATCGAACATGCTAAAAATAATACACAAAGCGGTTTATTTCACATTTTTAGAGGTTATTTGAAAAATAACTAAACGTGCTTGAAAAAATCTAAGGCCCGAATCAGATTTAGCAAAAAAAAATAATAATAAATGAAATGTACCCATTTTAATTCTTGCTCTATAAAATACCTAATATAACCCCCTATAGACAATTTGATAGGGTAACACTACAGATTTTGTTTGAAGATAAAGTTTTTGTATTTGAAAGTTAAATAACTATTGCCTATTTGGAAAAACTACTTTTTATAGTCACTCCATGCCAAATCATCTAATGTGTGTGCGAGTGGATTTTCTAAATGAATCAAAATTTTATGTCCATAAATCGAACTTCTTTGGATTAGGGAAACACATTTTTTGCCTCGATAAGGACCTAACACCTGTAATTGTCGTGCAGTAATATTGTTTAAATAAAAGCACATTAATTTAAAAAAAGAATAACACCTAAAGCCATTCAGTAACCAGGTCTAAAAAATATTTGATTATTTACCAATAAATGACAATTTATGTGTGGAACAAATATTCAAACTCTAAACATCTAACTTTGTTTTTAATTTGTTCAATACTTTAATTATATAATCATGTAATCACTCAAAGTACATATTGCCATCTTTCCACTAAATGCTTGCACATATAACTCATAAAAATACCTGTATACTGGTTATTTTATTTCATTTTATCAATCGTTATTTCTTTAATTAATATTTATGAAAAATCATTCGAACCTTAACTATTATGTTTTTTACTACATTCGTCTTTATAAATCGGAAATCATTATAGTTTATAATAATTGCTCAAGTTAAAAAAAAAGTGTTTTAAACAATTTTAAGACAAAAGTAAATAAATATTTTATTGGCATTCGTATTGACACAAGCTTAAAAATACAATTAAATCATGCAACACAAAAAATTGCTAGTATCACTTAAAAATAACACAAGGTGTATTGTATACAATTAATATAAAAGTTACTTAAAAGAATAATAATAACTCGTTTTAATAAATTTGACCTGAACAGATGGACCGTTCGTACAAGCGTAGAGTAGAAATTAAGGTGGGATTAAAAAGAGTATGGATACAATTTATTTATTTTTGGTACCACTCAGGAACATCTAACCAAACTGTAGTACTATCTTATACTAAAAAAGGAAAAATATTGGCACATTCAATAATAGCAAGTGACAATAATTGATGTAAAAATATAATTATTAGTTGGCTTACGAATAAAATTGAACAAAAAATATAATGACAATATACAAAATAGATAATTGACTGAAAAAATATACATTTGGACAACTAGTAAAAATACAAATAATATTATGACTAAAAATTGATGTACATTATCGACCAAACGTCAGTTACGTCATAAAAAAAAAAAAAAAATTGATAAGTCAAAAAATAAAAAGAGGAAAAAAGTTGAATGTGCGATGGATGACGTAGAAAAAAATTCAAATATAAATTCTGAACACATTATAAAATACATAAAATTATACTTCACTGCTCAAATAATTTAGTTTATATCAAAATAGGAAGAAAACTAAGAATTGAGAGGATGAATTTTTAGTGATGTGAAAAATAGATTATGTTAACGATACTTCTGTCTCGCTCGTATCAGTTGCAGGTTCGTAGTCATCGTTGGCAAAATATTTGGAATGTTGCTGTTCTAGGTACCTGAAAACAAATATTTTAACAAAGACATTTTATAGAAAGGTTGTCAGAAAACAGTGTTGATGTTTCATAACATAAGAATAAAATTATATTTTAGACCCAAATGTTTTTTTTTATTTTTTGAAAAAATAACTAAACAATTTTACCATCAAACTATAGTCGATACCTACGTACACGACTGCTCAATTTAAATTGCTCGTCGATTGTTGACTAAAGTTGAGATTGAAACGAATGTGGCTTTTTTACGGATCAGTTTTTAAAATGTAAGCTACTTCACATTGTTGCTTCAACCCTACCACCATTTATCTTATTTATCTAACTCTGTACTATACATCCTCAACGCATTCTGTTGTTTACACCTTGCATAAAGCGATGAATCTATTGCAGAAGTTATCTTTGCTAATAAATCATATCTCTAATTATCTCAACATATTCTGTCTAATTCCTACTGACTCGCATGGCCCTCTACGATAAAACACGAGTTATCACTCACTTAACCTTCTCACTTAGCCTAGGGTGACCATACGTCTCGTTAAAAATGGGATTGTCCCTTTTTGGAGCTAAATATTCCCTTGTCCCACTAACTGACTTTCGACTGGACGCTTTTTGTCCGTTCTTAGAATATGGTTAGGTTCTCTCTTTATCAGCTATCTTATCAAAATATTAATAAAAATAGAGCAATAATTATTAATTTTGATTTAGATTTCGAAAGTGTGGAGAAAGTAGTGGAATTAAACGCTAACATTTTTAAATAACTATTCAAAAAAAGATTTTAAAATAACTAAAATAGAATTTTGGGTAAAAAAAAATATGACTTTTTCTATGAGAAAAAAAATAAAATTTCTAATTCTTGCCACTCATTTTTACAAAAAAAAAAATAAAGATGTACTTATTGAACTGTATAAAAAAAAATGAAACTTGAAAGTTAGTCAGTGAACTATTAATACAAAACAAGAAATTAAAACGATTTTTTTATTAATAAATTAAAGTAATTTAAAATAATAATACTTATTATCAAAATATTATTTATATAATAAAAATTGTTATTATCAAAAGGTGCAAAAAGTAATTTTCAATTTTATTGAAGCTCTTTCTTTAGAAGTTTGGACAAAATAGTGTTCCGTTTTTTTTTATTATTAAAAATGATAACCATAGATGAACCAACAAGTTCATTTGATTATTATTTTATATAAACCATAATAAATATAATAGTTTAACTAAATGGATCATTAAATTAAAAAAAAAAAATTTAATTCTTACTTGAAAAAATCATTTATGCTATCAGCAATGGAAGAGAGCTGGTTGTCTTCGGTCACAAACTTTGGTCTTAGAAATTTTTTCAAATTAACTGAAAAATTGATTAAAATCCATAATATATCATCAAGTATCGAATACTAAAATACACATAGGTATATGTATAAAAAATATAATTAGGACACTACAAAAACACTAAAAAATTATGTTTATTAGGATAGCACTTCGTGTAAGACCATATAAAATGTTATTATCAATGTTTGGAAAAACACTTCAAAAACGGTTGAGTGTAAGGAAGGTGTTCTTTTCACTAAATGAGCTCCTGAACGCGTTTATAAGGAATTAATAAAACATAATTTCGCTAACATCAAAGTCAATATTTCATACGTACCACATAGCCTTAGTAAATAAATGGGTCCATAAACTGTACACCACAAGTCTTCCGAATAAATGTTTTTATATTTGAATTGTAAACTGTCAAGTCTTATTTTTTCTGATAACAGAGCAACAGCCTAAAAAAAAAATTGGTAAAGTTATTAAATAAAAATTCTCATTACATAAAATCTCATCAACGAAAAATAATTTACTTTATTGTGCACTTCATTATTACGTTCTTTCGCATATAGCAGCGTCTGTATTCGTGAATTAAAATATTGAATAAAAGTCGATCCAACACACAAAGCTCTTTCCCTAAAAATATCTTATTATATTTTCGACACTATTATACTATTAACTTTGTAAGAAAAACAATACTTACCTAACAAATATTGTTGATTTTTGTTTGGAACCGATATAACCATCAATGAGATGCATAACAGTGAATTTGGATGGAAACTTTAATTGCTAAAATATTTTACACACCATTATTAGGCAAACAATTTATTAACAAAGTGACCAAATATTATTAAAATGTTTAAAACACCTTGTTAAATACCTTGTTAAAAACGTTTATCATATTATAGTCGTAGGACAATCGCCGTTTCAGAATTGTAGGCACATCAAATTTTAGTTGTTTATCGTATGGAGGCTAGAAAAATTAATAGTTTTGTTGCAGACAAAGTCAAAATCAAAATAAATAACTGTTTGGCTGTATACGTACATCCGTTCAACACATACATCAATTATCAGCCATAACAATGTTCTAAAGATTATAATAACAATTTTCTGTTAAACAAAATATTTATTAAGATAATAATTTAATTATAAAAAGGTATATTACCAAAAACTCTGTATGGCAGGTAAGTTATTAATGTTATTTTCTATTAGACCAACAGTTCTGAATGCAACCAAAACCGGATTAGAAGATGGTTCTATTTAAATAAATAAGTAAATTAGTAAAATTTGGATTTTTTTCCGGAATGTTTCAGGTCAAAAAATTTAAACTTTTAATTTCAATTAATTACCAGACTCTTCAGTAGCCGAAGATGGAGCATCAGTGGTTTGGTTTACTTCAGTATTTTTTTTACGTCTGCCAACTCTTCCTTTGTTAAAATGTTTTTTTAAACTTGCTGAAAATATTACAAAAGTATTTATTTAATTAGACTGATCGATTCATGTTATAAATAATGTGAAAATTAAAAATCACTCTCTCTCTCAAAAAAAATTAATATTATTGGTAAAATTGACGACATAATAATTGCATTCGATACAATATTAATATTAAAACACATATTTACTGTTGGTCTTGGAGTGCTTTCATGTGGTCAAGCGAAAACTCATTTACAGACAAAACACGATCATCGTCTACCCATTCATCCCATTTCGTTTTCCACCCTATGTAATGAATGTAGTAGTTCAATTCACCGTCAGGTCCAATTCGTCGTTTTAAGCACTTTGCTTCATATAGCATAGATCTGTGGTAACACAGCACTATGTCATCTGTCAAATAACAAACGATTCAAATCAATTTGGCGTAATTGTGATTTTAAAATTTTTATTTATTTATAATGAAAAGAAATATTGCATATATTTGTATAAAAATGGTTGTTGCAGCATTCTGGTTTTTTATTTACTCACAAAAATCTTTTCTTTTTGTTAGATTTCTATTACTCAAAATTTAAACAATATTTGTTATTACCTAATTCATATCATCTTAACTCACTTTCAACAAAACTCACCTACTTTTTATAAATAATGGCTACTCTTTGTTCACTTTTCATAAGATCAAACGCTACTGTTGTTTTCTTGACCTCGTTCTCTGTTGTATCCCCTGCCTGTGTTAACTATTCCCTAATCTCATTAATTATTGCTACTACAGATACAAACTTAATGCTACCTCTTAGATAAATATACTCTACTTAATTTTGTCCAGCAGATCCAATGTAAAATATTTTAATTTAGCTACCTACTTTCAATATCTCTAAAATGTCCTCATTCGTATTTAAATTTCATCACCGTCAATTTTGAATCACCTTATTAGTTTACTCGGGTAAAAAATAATAATACATAAAAGTAAAAAAAAAAAAAAGAAGAGACTGTAATCGTAACTTACTTTTATCGAAACGGAAGGGATCCACAGACATTATCGTACACGGCGGATGAGCACTATAAGTTAAAATTAATATCAAACTCTTAAAAATAAATTCAAAATTAAACTCGATCCAATTTCTAAGGATTTAGCAGTTAAATTATTATCCTAAATACTCAAGGCTCGTCTACAAAGCAGTCGAGTCGTTTGGTAAATAACAACATTGTGAAATTATGATTTTACTGAGGCGTCGCTTGTTGTGTTATTACAGTGCGGGCATGTCCGGCACACAAAATATCTTTTATCTATATTACCATTGTGTAGACGCCGACGCTAAATACAGATGAGTGATGGACATTGGCCAAATTTAAAGTGTAAAACAACGATAATTCGTTAATAGCTTAAACTAATGACTCGACATAAGAAATGGTGAAATTAATTAACGGAAAAAAACCAAAAGGTTATACGGGAATAAGACCTCTATACCGACAAGAAGTCGGCATCACTGATGGTCGGACGCGTTGGGACGAAAATTGAAAATTATAAATGATAACATTTTCCATTTGAATATTTGATTGCTAATGGAAGCAATAAGACTTAAGACTCATGAACAAAATATTTACTAATTATACCTAATAGTAGGAGATAATTTCATATTTTACTTTTTTTATTATATATATATATATATATATATATATATGTGTGTACCTGTAGTATGTACTATAATATAGTATACTAGCTGTGTTGCCCGGCTTCGCCCGGGGTTTTGCAATATGCTCTTTTTTTTTTAATTTGATCCAAGCTAACGGAGAGTTTTTTATTGTTTTGAATATACGCGTTTTCTTTTTACACTCTTAGGGGTTAAATTTTGGAAAATGGGTTAATAGATAATTCATTATATTTTGTATTACAGAGTATGTATGCTAATGGAGATTATACCTCTATTGGCTTGCATTTTATTATAATATATCATTGGTCAAATAAACAAATACTTATTATTACTGCAATGATATACTTACATATTTGTATTTTCCACAGAAAGAGGAATCTCTAGAGAACTTGAAGAAGTCTCTGGAACGACTAGAGAATATTTTTTTTGCATTCTATTATAAGTTAAACTTTCAATGAGTTGGGGTCACGAGCTTTTTTTTTTGCTTTTAAATGGTCGGCCGTGTTTTTGTTTGCCGTTATTTTTAGAAAAAACCACACTTTGCGCTTTTACCGCTTTCACGTTTCACTTCAGGGACGCAAATGGTAATGACATATAACATGCCTAAACATTCGTTTTGGTAAAAACGCAAAATGTATCTAAATTTAAGTATAGCAATCTACACAGTACGACCTAGTCACGAAGTAACAAATAATTCTAATATCATTCATAATATAAATGATAAATAATAATAATAATATTATTATCTTGTATATTCTTGTTCAAAATAACAAGCGACTTCAGCGCTACCTGAAAACCGGGTTTTCCACGTGGCATTCAGATAGCCACCGAGATCGCTTTTTTTTTGAACGGTGTATATATGTACCTAACCGTAAATTCGGCCGATGGGTTCATAATCGGTCGGATAGGTAGGTAGGCATATGACAATAGTATTGTAAACTGAGAACATTGTTGTTTATCGCACCAGACCGTCGCACGTTGCCGGTTGCCGACGTGCGACGACAGTACGTGTACAAGTTATATTATTTTTATTGCAACCGATAATTGTGGCGCGCTCCTACGGAATTCGTCGATAACTCATTGGGATGTTCCCCCTAAGGGCCTCTACACCTGCGTTTTTTTAGTCGAAAACAACTCATTCTAATTCAAACGTACTGTTCCTAAGAATACGCCGATTTAAGTTTTGAAAAAATATTTGTATTCTTCAAAACATTTTCAAGGCATCGGTCTTGGCACAATTTTAAAAATTTTTTAGTTAATTAATTATTTCAGTTTAAAAAAGTAAAAAAATTGCATTTTTTTACATTGAAATAATTAATTAACTGAAATTAATTTTAAAATTGTGCCACGACCGATGCCTTGAAAATGTTGTGAAGAATTCAAATGTTTTTTAAAATTTAAATCGAAGTATTTTTAAGGACAGTACGTTTGAAGTAGAATGATGTATTAAAGTGAAATTTCAATTTCAAATTTTGTGGCTTCAAACAGTTTATTGACTTGTGCCTGCGAGTGCGTGACACTTCTTATCGACCGCTATCGTCGTCGTCGCATGACACCCGCAAATTGCAGATGAGGATATTATTTTTAGATATTTTGTCATGTACGGTGTATAACAAAATACTATTAAAACGAGGATCATTGGCAGAGCATTGCAATTTATACTGAATTGTAAAAATGATCGTTTTTTCTACAATTTAGATTTTAGTCATTCGAGTATTCGACTAGCGTTGTTGATGTTGTCCATCGGCAGGTCGTCTTATACTCACACAATTCATATTTATATGATTTATATTTCATATAATAATGAATAATAAGTATACTAGGAAGTATTGACCTAAGTATAGAAAACCCTTATCTCGCTGGATAAAGAATAAAGGGAATTTAAATTCGCTGAATAAAAAAAACTATCCAGAGAGAGGAGAGGTTAGATCATGCTCCGTGAGTTACCTAATATTATGTCTTGATGATTAAAACGAGTCCTTATGTATTATATTTTTAAGAACGGCATATTTTACCAAAAAACAATTTTTGTTTTAGCTTCGGTGCGTAGTTGAGAAGGTATTGTTTACAATGATGTGTTTTTAATTGTATTTATTTTTGTTTTTTGTGTCTGGACGTATCTTCTATGCCGTTAACCGATTTCTTCATGTATTTACTTTATATATTAGAAATCTCTAACCCTTTGGCGGCTGTCTTGGAAAAAAAATTAAACACCATAAAATACTGTTTTCTAACGTGTGACTGACTTGTAAAATTAAACGCCACCGCAACAGAATTTTTCCTACCCATGACAGTTTTAATCCCAAACTGTCTCCGAGGGTCATGATGAACTATCCAGATTAATTTGATAAGTAAAATAATATATTTACCAAAATGTTTTCAACTATTTTTATAAACGTTTCACATTTATGAATTGTAACAACTAACAATAATAGAGTTATTTGTATTAAAGTTGCACTATTTTAACGGCAACTACGCATGAACGATTATAGTTGAGATTATATTGTTTATTCTCACAATATTCAATCACTATTTCCACCAGCCGATCGTTCTGACTACAAGGGTTGGCCGTCACAAGTGCCTCCCGTTCTAAATCTAAATCTAATCTAAAAGTTTATTTCTTGGGCAAAATTTTGAAAGTTCACTTCTTCCCCTTCAAAATTGGGAAAACACATAAAAATGTACATATTACTTTTTTAAAATAGTCGATTTTGTTCCAAATTTCTATGAATATTCTTCGGATAAAGTACTATACAACGTAAACGGAAAAACGTTGACAAACAAAAAAATATCTTTATATATTAAAATTGTATTAATTTATTACTATAGTTATAATCAAATTTTCATCGATAACTGCTAGTCTGCTGTTATTATATTTGTCAAAAGTAAGTAAGTAAACTCGTAATTTTTAATGTCTAGTAATAATCATTATCTTCGTGCTTCTGTATGTCTGTGTATATACTCCTACAGAAATAATATAAATGCGAC